GAGTTTCACCGCTAGCAGATCCAGATGATGATATTGAACAAAGTCGTATGTGGATGCAAATTGCAATGAGCAGAGTCCAACAGGCTGTCGATGCTTCTCTCGTTTGTTTGCACATTATGACGTCGAGTAATATGCCAAAAACAATATACTTGGAAGATGTCATCGATCGAATAATTCTCTTTGTTAAATTTCAATTACAGAACACAATTTACCCTTCCTATGATCCTGTATACAGAATAGACTCAAAAAATAAGACTGACAATTTTAACTCTAGTGGACGTAAAAAAAGAAGCCATGCCAAGGAAGTGAGAGAGAAAAATCTTCTAATGGTTTACAGTAAATTGCATGAGCTGGTTAGTCTCTTGTCAGAACTACTCAATATACAAATTCTCACCGACACCAGTGTACTTCATGCTTCCACACTTGGTGTTGCTCCATTCTTTGTTGAAAATGTTAGTGACTTGCAATTGAGTGCCCTTAAACTTGTTACCATCATCTTTACAAAGTATGAAAAGCACAGAAGATTACTTCTCGATGACATATTAGCTTCCATCGCCAGACTTCCAAGCAGTAAAAGAAGTCTTCGAACATATAGACTTAGCACAGACGACTATATACAAATGCTCACTGCTCTAGTGTTGCAATTGATTCAGTGCGTTGTAGTTTTACCTGACAATTCAGTACAAGGGCAAGATAAACCTACAATCAAAGACGAAGAGGACAAGAAAAAAGAGATAACATTAAATAATATTGACGTCGATGTACTCATATTAAGTAAGTATGATGCAGCACAAAGATTGGCAGGAAATTTTTTAACTGCCTTTCTTAACAAGTGTGGCAATAAAGGAGAGGAAGTCGATTATCGTCCGCTTTTTGAGAATTTTGTTCAAGATTTACTTGCCACGGTAAATAAGCCTGAATGGCCAGCTGCTGAACTGATGCTTAGTTTACTAGGTAAATTGTTGGTTGGTCATTTTTCAAACAAAGGTTCGGATATGTCTCTGAGGGTAGCTTCTATAGATTACTTAGGCGTTGTTGCCGCTAGATTAAGAAAGGACGCAGTCAGTTCCCATTGTAAATTAGCAACTATAGATCAAATAATTTCTGATATTAAAATTGAGCAGTCGAGAGATGCGGATTACGATCAAGTAAAAGATAAGGAAATTCCAGGATTGGATCCAGCCGAGGAACGGATAATATTTCTACAAAAGGTCCTTCTCGATTATCTGGCTGTTAACGGAACCAAGGATTCTGCTCTTGGCTACGCGCGTCACTTTTATCTAGCTCAATGGTATAAAGACTGTGCCATGGATAAACAACGAGTAGGGCAGCCGAAGCACGTATCGCCCAGTAAAAAATCGCCAAAAAAACGATCGAGAAAGAAAGGCGGCAGGCATCGGATAAGTGACGACGAAAGTGAGGAAGAGTTGGAAGAAGAGATAAATCCCGATGAGAATGATAATAATGAGCAAAAGCATTCGGAAAGTTACAGGATAATTGAAGAGAAAAAAAAGTTGATAGTAAGTAAAATTCGGCCCTACAGTACCGGAACAAAGCCCGACATTCTACAAACATATATTGATTATAACTCGGCCGAACTCATCTCCCAATATCTTGCGTCAACACGGCCTTTCTCTCAAAGTTTCGATCGCTACTTACAGCAAATTCTCCGTGTATTGACCGAAAGTTCCATAGCAATTCGAACAAAAGCCATGAAATGCTTGACGATGATCGTCGAGGCAGATCCTAGTGTGCTGGCCCGCGTTGATATGCAGCTTGGCGTCAAGCACTCGTTCCTCGATCACTCAACATCAGTACGTGAGGCTGCGGTCGATCTTGTTGGTAAATTTGTGCTTAGCCGACCGGAATTGATTGACAAGTATTATGAAAAACTTCTGGCCAGGATTCTTGATACTGGCGTTAGCGTAAGAAAGCGAGTGATCAAGATCCTTAAGGACATATGCATGGAATTTCCCGACTATGAAAAAATTCCCGAAATCTGCGTAAAAATGATACGACGAGTAAACGACGAGGAGGGTATAAGGAAGCTTGTAATGGAAGTTTTTCAGAATATGTGGTTCACACCTGTCAAGGAACGCCCTACTCTTGACACAAAAGCTTTGCTCCGTAAAGTCATGAACATCACTGATGTTGTAGCAGCTTGTAAGGACATGGGACTTGAATGGTTCGAACAACTACTTGTTAGTCTTTTTAAACCTAAAGAGGACAAAGAGGATAGCACCAAATTGATAACTGAACCACCAAAAGCTCTCTTAACTGCCTGTACCCAAATCGTTGATTGCTTAATTGAAAACGTACTCAGGTTAGAAGAAACAAACTTCAATACTTCGAGCGATGTTGACGAAAATCCTCAAAAACGTGGTTCTTCTCAAAGACTCGTTGCCTGTTTAACGACACTTTATCTCTTTGCAAAAATAAGGCCCCAACTTTTGGTTAATCATGCAATAACACTGCAGCCTTACTTGAGCTTAAAATGCCAGACTCAAGGAGATTATCAAATAATCAGTAGCGTTGCCCACACATTAGAGCTTGTTGTGCCCCTCATGGAGCACCCCAGTGAAACTTTCTTAGCTCAATTGGAGGAAGACTCGGTGAAGCTGATTCTCCAGCACGATAGATCCGTCGTAGCTAGTTGCCTCTCCTGCTTGGGATCTATAGTCAATAATGTCACAAGGAATTTCAAACTAATTAGAGATTGTTTCAATAAATACTACGGCTCTATGACCACATATAAATCCGTTTACGAAAGAGATCCAGATAATCCATGGCTAATCAAGTATAAACCATTTTTCCGAAGAGCACTTTTTACCGTGGGCTTGCTTTTAAGGCATTTTGACTTTACTGATTCACAAGTGATAGATGGTCTACCGGACAACATCAAGGACCAAGTTTTTGAAACACTCAATTACTTTGTCAGTCAAGACAACGATGACACAAGGCAATTCACACTCTCCGCTATTGGCTCCCTCTGCATCCGGCATTATGAATTTATGATGCTGCCTCAACTCGAAGAGCTCTATCATTATTTTTTAACATCCGAATGTGCACCAGTGCAAATGAGAATACAAGTCTTGAACAACATTGAATTGTATTTAGCAGAAGAGGAGAAAAGGATGATAAAGCAGGACCTTGAGTGGGCCAAGCTTTCAAAACAGGAAAATCTTAAAGAGATGGGTGATGTGTCATCTGGAATGGCTAGTGCAGTAATTCAAAGATATCTTAACCAAATTCTCGAGTCTTTTCTACACTTCAATATTAATGTACGACACGCTGCCCTTAAAGTTATTCAATTGATATTGGCCCAAGGATTAGTTCATCCAGTGACAATCGTACCCTATCTTATATGCATGAGCACGGACTGTGAAAAGACAGTGAGCCATAGTGCCGATAAACAATTACAAGACATTGAAAAAAAATATCCGGGCTTCGTGCACACAAAAGCTCAAGTTGGAATAAAGTTAAGTTATCGATTACAACAAATACTGCAGAAGGATACGACTCTGGTTAGAGGCATGCGATTAAAAGAAGGTGAGTACCCAACTGCCCTCAATGGATTTCTTTACACCATACTGCGAAATACAAAACAACAGCGGAGGGCTATTGTCCAGTCCTTCCTCAAGCAATTTGACGAAAGCGCCAAGACAAGCCTCTCCCAAATGCTCTATTTGGCAGACAATCTCGCCTACTTTTCTTATCAAGTGCAAGATGAACCACTATTCATTATTCATCATATAGACATAATTATATCCATGTCAGGTACAAATCTGCTTCAATCCTTTAAGGAAACTCTTTTACCCAAAGATGGTCATTCGCTGCAGCATCAAATGCAAGGTATGACCTTACAACAACAACGCCAACAGCAGCAGATGCAGCTACAATTACAGCAGCAGCAGCAGCAGCAGCAGCAGCAACAACAATTGGCAATTGAACAACAGCATCTACTTCAACAACAGCAGCAGCATTTATATCCACAGGTAACTTATCAAAACCTATACTTCTATATTATTGATAAATGTATTAATTAACATATTATTAGTAGTAAATTATATCAGTTTGTATATTCTTTCAAAATTAGTTTATAAAAGTGTATTTAAATTTACGATCAAATAATTATTACTTTTCTATATTTAGCAAACTGAGTCAATATTCATTAAAAATGACTTGTTAAACAAGATTCATACATTTAGTAAAAAACAGCAAAATAAAACACTTGTTTTGTTAAATAATGAGTTCATTCAATAATATTGTATAAAGTAAAATTTTTTAACTTATTATTTATAATAAACAATAATTTAAATAAATCATAAGATTAAATAAGCCATAAATAAAAATTCGTTAAAATAATTTAAAGGTATTTAAAATATATACTTTTTTATTTGATATCAGAGTAAAAACAAATATTTATAAAAATTAAATTATACTTATTTTAATATTTTAATACTTAATAGCTTACATATTTTCAATCCTATATAATTAATCGTCAAATGATAAAAATATCCACATTTTTTATTCTTTAACTATTTTGACATATTTTCTTATCATGTAAACATAAAAATAATAACTGCATCTAACCTCTATTGTTTTGTTTTTATTGTTCCTACATTATCGACCGATAATATAGTAATTACAAAATTAAAATTGTGGCTTGAAATGAAATGGTTATTTTCGATAAAGAATAAATATTAATAATTATTAATAACATTTGAAAACTTTTGTACTGATTTTATTATACTATATTTACTATGTCATTTTTTCAGATAGGTAAAAAAAAATAATAACTTACACGCCCTAGATTGTATAAACATCAATCGATCAGATATTTGTTTTAAGTAAAGTTTATAAATATAAAAATATTTTCAGGGCGGAGAAATGATGATGCACGGTGAAATGGGCCTTATGGGAGAAATACAAGCAGTAGGAGCTCAGGTGGTAGCCCAAGCAGCGGCCCAAGTAGCGGCTCAAGTAGCAACTCAAGTTCAAATGCAAGTCCAGCCAGTGACACACACCACGCCTCGGGCTCAAGCCACGCTGTATGGTCCGGATGGAGTACCACGTCCTACTCAGCTACTCGCCGCAATCGAAGATGAAGAGGACGACGAAGAGGATGAGGAAACGGTCCTCGAAAGATTACCTGAAAATACGAGATTGCTACGCGAGTACATCACCGCCAGTCAGGGCTTTCTTCTATTGTTGAACCTACGCCAACATCTCAAGGATCTTTATGGCTTTTCTGATGCTAAGATCAGTCAGTATTCGCCCTCCGAATCGGCCAAGGTTTACGAGAAGGCACTTAACCGCAAAAGCAATCAGCTGTTCAAGCCCAAGAGTACACTGCAAAGACTGAAGGAAAATAAGAGCGACGATCAGGAATTAAACGACGAAGGAAGGCGACAGTTGGTAAAGGAGTACCTCGACTTTAAGCAGCTCATGTTAAAGTTCGATCCTGATGATCCCGACGACGAGGAAGAGGAGAACGAGGGTGGCGTTGCGAAACGAGGTGTGCCCACCAATTCATCAGAACCTGATCGGCTGAACTCCTCGACAGGTGGAATAATCTCAATCGAGGCCATGCCTGTTCAATACCAAGTGCACCAGGTACCGGAACATCCGAACAACTCGATGGCCCAGAGCCATGGCCCACCCCGAGTGCCCAAGCTCACGATACATGCGAGTCACCATCAACAGCAGCAACAGCAGCAACAGCTATTGCAACAGCAAAACGCTCCCGCAGACAAAGAGCACCACCGCAAGCATCGCGCTCACAAAGCAGATAAGCCTAAGAAGCACAAGAAAAAAAAGAGGAGAAGATTGTCGGATAGCAGCGAAAGCGGCGAGGACTTCAGCGACCCCGACTTTCTCGTGTGAGTAACCGAGGGTCGTTTTTTTATTTCGATTATAATCGATCATGCGTTTTCCAACTTATTTTTCAATGTGTGTTTCGAATGACGAAAGACAGACTCCTTTCCCACGCATTGTAAACCAACATTCTCCTATGTACATATTGACTTGCGAGAAGGTGAGAGTTGCGAAAGATATAAACAAAGAGAGAAATTTTTAATTCATAGATACTATTGCTGCTTTTAATGTTGAGCCTGCGGGCGTATAACGTCTTTCTCGGAAATATTACAGATTAAGGACCAGCTGATACTCGACATTGGTTTTAAATCTATTAGCGAAAGCGAATAAAGAGAAAAGCAGAAGTGAAAATAGATAGATGGAAGAAAGGCGGAAGAGAGGAGGGGGGGGAGAGCTTTTGTAGTGAAACATATAATTTTTAATTACTACGATTTTTATGATGAAAAAGACTTGGTCATTGGATTTTTTCTCGGATGTAAAGTTTGAAAGATTACTGTTGAAATATGGGATCATAAATGAAAGTGTGAAAATGAGAAGACGGAGCGACGATGAACGGGAGAGAAATGTATTGTTGTAAAAAAAAAGATTAAGAAAACATATTATGTACATAATGAAAAAAAAAAAAAGAAAAGAAACAAATATGACAAATCTTTGACTAAAGTATCTTATTTTCTTACACGAAACAAAACGTAATAATGCAACATTACGAAGAATACTTAAAAGCGATTTTGTTGTAATATTAAATATTAGGTATTTATTATTCGAAGAGTTCACGTTTTTTGCTCTCCCAAGAATATGTATACCATAAAAGAAAAATTTCGCGCTCTCGTCTTTGATGTATACGCTATATTATTGTATTCAACGTTTAAAGATTAATAGAAGAAAAAAAACAGCTTGCGCTAATTTTTAGTGCAACGCTTTTTGTCCCTAAAAAGAACTTCTGGAGTGAAATAATAATTCTCATAAAAGGAAGAACAGTCGATTTTTACGTCCTAAAACGATTTTTTTTTTATTTATTTTTTTTTCTTTTTTTTCTTTTAATACTGAAATTATTTATTGTCTCATTGAATCTGAATCTTAGGCATTTTAGATTGCGTAGGATTTACATTTACTAAGTCGCGTATACGGTAAATTAACAGCGTATATATTATGGTTTTTTTTTTTTTTTTTAATGAAAACCTACAAAAAAAATCCGTGCTTTCATCATAATCTAATATTATTGATAAGATAATTGTAAAAGTAAATTTCAATTCGAGAACGTTCAAATAACTAAATTATAGAAATAGAAGAAATATAAAATTTATCTCGTGATAGAAGGAAAACGTCTGCGTGAGTTCCATTTAACTAATAATATGATTATAATGAATTAAACAAAACAAAACATCCATCCTTTTGTAAACGAGCTCATTATCGGCCGCAAAGCAAAAAATTCTTTCTAAGAGCCAAAGCATCGCCAAAACGACTGGATGAGCCTTTTCTTTTTGCAAAAAGTGTGCAATTATAGATCTATAAGAATGGGACAAAATAGTAGAACAAAAATACGAATAGATACGCGCAAAAGTATCATGTTAAATGGTTGAAAAAAAGTAGTTGAAAGACAAGATTTAATTCAATTAAAGGGAATGAAATGTGACTGTACAAATTTTCACACATGTAAATATTTATTAAAAGATGAAAGAAAAAACCGTGAGATTGTCTCTCAACGCCGAACATAAACTACAAATTATTATAAATAAAAATAAAATATATATATACATACACGGTATATATGAGGACAAAAATGTAGAAAAAATGGGATTAAAATTGGGCCGAATGTCATTAACGACGAAAGAAAGGGCAAAAAATTATGAACGCGTGAAAGTGTGTAAGGGAATAAAATTGAATTATAGAAGAGACAATTATTAGTGTAATAGAAAAAAAAAAAAAAGAATAATAGAGCGTTTTGTTTTACACTTTACATTTCATTGTAATAAATTTTTTAGGAAGTACGATGAATTTAAACAATTATATTTCTACGTATGTATAATTTTAAAATTAAGGGTTCAATTCATACATAAGTATTTCCATGAGGTGGTTAATGTATAGTGTCGAGTAAGGTCCCGAATAAAAAAAAAATAGCACCATATTCGACGCAATAAAGAGGCTCGCTTGTATTATAACATTATCACATACCACATCAGCTATGTTTTTGTATTTGGTAATTTAATGAAAAATATCAATTAACAACAAGCAGGTTCATAGAAAGTATATTATATAATGTG